TGGTTCGTGGTTTTCCAGCAGGCACAAGCTGCGCACGTCCCTCATCAGTGTTTCTAGTTGTGTTCTCAACACGACATCTCTCACTTTACTGTCGTTGGATCGGAGTATCTCTTCAACGACGGCCTTCTTCCAGAATCCGCGTGGTGCCACTTTGTCGACGATTAAGACTAAATCGCCGATTGCAAGTTGTGGGGCCTCATTGGTCCACCTTTGTTTTACCTGCAAGAAGGGTAGATAAGCGGTGATCCATTTTTTCCAGAACAAATCAGAAAGATATTGAGCCTGGCGCCATCTTAATTCATGTCTACAAGGACCACTTTCTTCAGTCGATGATGAAAGGTTCCTTGTGTTCAGCAAAAAATGTTGCGGAGTAAGCACAGCATACTCGTTTGGATCCGCGCTGTTCTTTACCAAAGGCCTGTCGTTCATAATTGTTTCAGTCTCCGTTATGGTCGTTGTGAAGACCTCCTCAGTGACCACCTGTGAACCAAGAATGGAACGCAGTATTCTTCTAATGGATCTTATCAGCCGTTCCCATACTCTGCCCCGATGACTAGCTGTTGGTGGATTGAAGATCCAGTCGCACCCCTTCGCTAAAACAGAGCTAAGTATGCGTTCTTGGTTCCATTCATGCAGCAGCAGCTTTAGTTATCTCTCAGCCCCTTAAAGTTGAGTCCGTTATCACTATAGAGCTTTCTAGGGCACCCTCTTCGAGTGACGAACCTGCCGAATGCACATAGGAACGAATCTGTCCCCAGGTTCGAGGCTACCTCAGTGTGAACCGCACGGATGCTGAGGCATGTGAAAAGGCAGCAATATCTCTTTTCCGACCGTCGGGCAACCTTTACTTGAAATGATCCGAAGTAATCGACCCCGGTAAACGTAAATGGTAGGTTATACGGCTCCAGGCGATCGGCCGGCAAGAGTGCCATAATCTGTCGACAGGGTGGAGCATGCCAGCGCCGACACAAAACAAGCACCAACGACTCGTTTGATTAGGGCCTGACCGCGGAGTATCCAGTACATTTCTCGCAAAATAGCACTCGTGTGCGATATACCGATGTGGCTATTCGCTTGGTGAACGTTTTGCATGATAAGTCTGCTCACGAAGTGGTGTTGCGGAAGGATAACCGGGTGCTTCGTCTCGTAAGGCAGCGGAGCATATTAAAGCCGCCCTCCTACTCTAATCAGGCCGTTCGAGCAGAAAGGGGAAAGATTCTTTAGGGGACTATTGGTCGCTTTTAGTTGCTTGTGATTGATATCTCGCAAACGATTGTGCACCCACTTACTTTCAGTTCCAAAGCATTGTTTCTACACT